CTCTAAAATAAGATCTTGTATGAGGGGGGCCTTATTTACCACGGACCTGGCATTACATAACATCAGCCGATGGTCCCGGGCCGGGGGGTCTGCGTCCCCTGGAAACCGAGTGGGGGCCTGAGGACCGGAGCACCCACAAGCTTGTAAATAGCGTGTGCGTGCTCCCCTAACCTGATATGGTCCTCTGCTCCCGCCATATACTGCATTTTTTCCCCTAAGGATTGTGTGGAAGCACAGAAGTTCTGCACTGGTTTACTTCTGTAGCATTAGCATTGTTGAAGATGAAGTGATTTACAGATGAACACCCTGTGAAGCTACATTTGTGGTTCTACATTCTCTGTAGAACCACATGCCATAGTGAAGACCATAAAAAGCTGGGGGGAGGGGAACCAAAAGCTTCTTTACCACTTCATATATTTAATGAAATAAATGCAAATCTCTAGTCCTGCAATGAGAAGTCTTTCAAAAAGACAAAAATTTTTCCAAAGGATTAATGAGGACCCAGATTGTTGGGGGCAATATGGTGACTCTGTAAATCACTTACACAGTGCGGTAAAGCACTATGAAGCAGTATATAAGACTAAGCGCTATTGCTATAAAATTTTGAACAGCATTAGCAGAAAGATTCTGTATATTACTGTATAAGATGTGAATGCAGTTATTAACATGTTTTTCTCTGAATTTTTTTTAAAAAACAAAATCATAAAAAACCTTGCTAAATTCTAATAATACAGATAGAAAATTGAATTAATTTTTTATTGATCTGCACATCTAAAATGCATGAAATTTATGTTGCCTAGATTTGATGTGATGAGCAGCCATATAAATCTAATACATGTATTCCTTGATGTACAGTTGTTCATCTACAAAAATAAATGATGAACCCTACACAACCAGCACTCCATTGTTCTGGAAGAGTTTTCTAATTATAGACCAGTCTCAAATATTCAATTTTCAAATAAAGTGATTGAGAAAATAATGATTCTATAGGTCCAATTATATCTGAATTAAATTTATTTTTGGACCTATTGGTTCCAAGATATGATAATAAATGTAGTGAAAAACTCTGATTGTGGTCTGCTAATAAAATATGTATTTACTCATCCATGAGGTCACTTTTCTTCCAGACCTGAATATGAGTAATAGCTCCCCTCGGAAAGTAAACTGTGTATGTTATTTATTAGTTGATGGTTATTTGAATATATCATTCCTAATAAATGATTAATATTTATCAAATGAGTGCTCTTTTTAGAAATAAAGCATACCACATCAAGTAGTGACCAGCTTAAAGAGGATAATGAGAAAGCTGCCTGGAGCAGACACCAGAACTTACCCAAAAAGAAACTGAAGATAGCTATGCTTCCTCGAGAGGTGACATTATTTATGGATAATAAAAATGTTAAAATAATTATTAATGGATCTGGATAACATAAGAATGTATTCCTTACTCTTGTCCAAATTAGCCTTTGACTTCATAACTTCATTTTCAACATATATTTGCTTGATTTATTTTGTAGCAAAATAAATCAGCTCTCTCCCAGGCAATGAAAGTTATTTGTCTAAAATGAACTAATGATCCAGAAATGTTTTACAAATCTGAGAGTTGTTCAAAACTCTCTGTTTGGGTTGGTTCAGATTCAGTATCAGTCTCCTTTAGATCGTGATAGGTTCAGAGTCAGCCTGACAATAAACATCACTCATGTAGAAAGATTGGCTACACTTAGATGACTTATTTTATGAAATAGTTAATTAGGGTATGTTGGATACTGAATATCAGAAAATTCATATATGTGGAGAAAATTATTTTCCAAAATTCATAGGAGAATTTCAGAAGAAAATTATTCAGATTACAGATTTTCTAATATATTTTAAATATATTGCCAAAGTTGTGGAATAATCATTCACCGAAGATAAAAATGATTCATTCTGAATGTTGCTTTAGTAATAGATCAAGCTCTGAAGCACTAATACTTATGTTTATTTACTTTCTAGTCACACCCAGCTTGCTATGGTCCCGAGTTGACGTGGCATCGCTTCAATATTAGTGGTCACAGTCCACTAATTCAACATTACTTCCAGAAACATGGTACTGAATCAAAATCAGGATGTGACATCTTTCTCTCTAGGAGGGAGATATACAAACCAATGCCATATCCTTATGATGTTCCGAAGAGAAGTATTGATGTCTATGGAGATTCTCAGTCATCCAGGTCATGGTTGTCCCAAAGGTGCTTTTTCAAGAGGCAACTGGACTTTCTTGTTTTTCTTCGAAGAAGTTTTGCCACTCATCCAAGAAGCTTCTTCAGCTTTGATTGGATGGTGGGGAATGGAAGGATTTATTTTCCTTGCAGACAGCTGGTCATTTGCATTCTTTTAGAGAGTTGTTGAGGCCACTTGGAGGTTTATCTGTGCAAACGGATGTGGAGCCTTCTTGGAACTGCTGAAAGGACTGTGTTGTAGACTGGAGATAGATGATGTCATATCCTCCCCTTCTGTTGAGAGAGGATTGTTCAATTTTGTCATAGATGGCCTCTTTGACCCCTTTTTCAAACCAGTGGTCCTCTCTGTCCAAAATGTGGAATTTGCTGTCTTCAGAAGAGTGGCCTTTATCTTTTAAATGCAGATGGACTGCTGAATCTTGTCCTGATGGGTTTGTTCTCCTATGTTTTGATGGAAAATTCTTAAGACTGAGCTTCTTGGCTCACTACTATAATTTGTTTCCAGTATAATATTTAAGAAATGCATTGTTAAATTTACATATAAATGTCTAGGTCATTTTGGGAACCCATTATTTTTTCTTTGTGGTTTGCTTAAGAAAAAAATTCTAAGTAGAAATTTCCTTTACATTTAAATTCACTGATTCTGTCAAAACATATGCAGAAGTGATCAAGGAAAGTTTTCATATCCTCCATCAGAAGCACAAAGCCTTCAGAAAATGTTATTGGCAACAATACAGAGAAATGAGGAATTTTGATGAACAGAACAAATGTAACCAGGAACTTTACAGGTACCCAAAAGTGTATATTGAAATGATGTAATTTTATGCATATAATGCCCACATTTTAAAACTGTTTCTGGATGTAGATATAGCTTATGCAACAGCCACATTATTTTCTTCCTCTACATTTTCAGATTTTGTTTCATACCATCTTGTGTGATGAAGAGATCTTATCCATCCTTTTGAATTGGCTGACATTGTTTTAATAAAGAATTGAAATGAATTCTAGCATCATGATATCAACATGAGGGAAACAGGGCTCCCTCTAGGAATTTCCTGTTTCTTACATAATGCATTTATTGTTAATTCTTATTTCATTGGCCACTATGAATTCATTACACTAACCCAATACTTTGCTTTAAGGATTCTTGTATTTGTCTGCTCTCACATTTACATACTTGATTTACCCCGAACTTCACGGTTCAACAAAATCCAAGCTTTACTTTGTAACATCCATGTGTAATCTATAAGAATTGCATTTCTGTTGTATGGATATTACACTATTCCTGAAATTAATGTGATATTCTTTACTTTGGAAAAAATCCCAGTAACTTTTAAATATATTACTTTTCTTTTCCTTTACTGGAGAACTCGATTGCTTAAATAGGATAGATGGGGAACTCATCAAATTTGCAGATGACACCAAGCTGGCAGGAATAGCCAACACTCAGAAGAAAGGCTTAGATACAGAAGGATCTTGACAGACTTAAACTTTGGGCACTATCTAACAAAATGAAATTCAATGGTGAAAAAAGTAAGGTTCTACACTTAGGCAAGAAAAACCAAGTGCACAGGTACAGTATAGGTGGTACCTTGCTAAATAGTAGTAACTGTGAAAGGGATCTTTGAGTCCCAGTGGACAATCACTTAAATATGAGCCAGCAGTGTGCTGCAGCTACCAAAAAAGCCAACACCGTGCTAGGCTGCATTAATAGAGAGATAGAATCAAGATCACGTGAAGTGTTAATACCATTTTATAACACCTTGGGGTATGGCCACATCTGGAATACTGCATCCAGTTTTGGTCACCATAATGTAAAAAAGATGTTGAGACTCTAGAAAGAGTGCAGAGAAGAGGAACAAAGATGATTAGGGGACTGGAGGCTAAAACATATAAGGAATGGTTGCTGGAATTGGAGTTAGAACAATTAATCAGTGGAACAACCTGCCTCCAGAAGTTGTGAATGCTCCAACACTGGAAGTTTTTAAGAAGAGACTGGACAACCATTTGTTTGAAATGATATAGGGTTTCCTGCCTGAGCAGGGGGTTGGACTAGAAGACCTCGAAAGTCTCTTCCAACTCTATTATTATTATTATTATTATTATTATTATTATTATTATTATTATTATTATTATTATTATTATTATTATTATTATTTACTTTAAATAAAATGACAACAGCAAGTTCTTATACTATCCTCACTCCTGCCGCCCAATTTCCTCCCCATCTTCACCCCTCACCCATTATATTTGAATGAAATAAGTTATTCTATAGTCAAGGCCATTTCCCAGTTGCAATGTATGGCTGTGAAAGTTGGACCATAAGAAAGGCTGAGCGCCAAAGAATTGAGGCCTTTGAACTATGGTGCTGGAGAAGACTCCTGCGAGTCCTCTAGACTGCAAGGCAATCAAACTGGTCAGTCCTGGAGGAGATCAACCCTAACTGCTCTTTAGAAGGCCAGATCCTGAAGTTGAAACTCAAATACTTTGGCCACCTAATGAGAAGGAAGGACTCACTGGAGAAGAGCCTAATGCTGGGAAAGATTGAGGGCAATAGAAGAATGGGACGACAGAGAATGAGGCGGCTGGATGGAGTCACTGAAGCAGTAGGTGTGAGCTTAAATGGACTCCAGAAGATGGTAGAGGACAGGAAGGCCTGGAGGAACGTTGTCCATGGGGTTGCGATGGGTCGGACACAACTTTGCAACTAACAACAACAATGAAAAACATTCAATATCTCATAAGTAGCTAGATTGTAACTTGGACTCATTGTGAAAGGCTTTATGTATACATATATTTCAAGCATTTACGAGTTGCCTGTTTGAGAGCTTTATCAGAAAATATGGCTTCAATATTTAGCTGTAATCATAATCTAGGTTTATTCTCAGTTTTAAAATTCAAATAATATCTCTTCTGCTACTTTATGCTCAAGTTAATTTCAAATTTTCTCTTATCTTATTCTGCAGACAAGCTATAAAAGAAGAGATGAAAAAGAGAAAGGCACAAAAACAAAAAGAATTGCTTTCTTTGAGGGATGCAGAACCTTCATCCCTGTTTTCAAAAGATTCATCTGGGAAACACCGTAGTTAACCTAGATCTCTCCTTCTGAACTGACATTGATTGAGTTCACTGGAAGCATGTTACAGAATGACAATTTAAATAAAAGTAATGAATCTAGGTTTGATACTAAATGTAAATATATTGCTAATTAGAAATAAATGAGTGCTACTACATTAAGGGGGAAGAATAAGATAATGTTTTGGGAATGCTAACTGGATATAATTTTGTTTTATTACTTCTGAATATAATTTTTCCCATTACATTTGATTTTATTGTATCTGTTTCATTCTTTGTCCAGTTTAAGAATATATTGACTCTAAATTGGATGATTTGCAACTTTTCTAACACCAATTCCATAATGTATACATAACAGCAATACTTCTTTCCTTCAGAGTTATAATATCTATGTTTG